CTATTTTTTGGTCTTTAGGGGCCTTTTTTTTTTTTTTTTCCTTTCTACCACCCAGCCTCCTAAGGATGCTCTCAGTCTCTTTTTATCTTCTTCTCTTCCAGGAAGTGATAATGTCTTTTCAAAAATGTTACCTCTTCCTTTATTCAGTGCACTGGTCTACAAGAAGTCTTTTCCATTTACTTCACAGTTAATGTGTTTATTTTCTGGTGGTGATTATAGATTCTTTTGAGCTTGTATCTTCTACACATTTTTTAGTTATATCTACTGCTCCAGAAGCGTTGAGGTGGGAATGCGAGAGATAGCTTTGCTGGAATTTGTTGCTTAGTTTTTATGATTAATTAGAAATGTGTCTCTTATTATTCCAATGGTGTGTTTTATATCTTTTTATTATTCTTTTTGGTGACCTGTATTTATGAAGGGTCAGTGGAGAAATCCAGATTTAGATCGCTGTTATCCTCACCCACCAGCTCAAAATATATGCATGTGTGTATTTATTGGGTTGTTGAGAAAGTCATGATACATTTTTGCATAGAAATACATAGAAAAATACATCATGACTCTCTTGGTGATCATTTTATATATGTGTATATATGTTTTCTGTATATGTGTGTGTGTATATATATATATATATATATGTCTTTTTGTGTGTGCGCGTGTATGTATATACATATATGTATTTAAGTTTTTGCTATAGGGCACATATACTCACCAGAGAGAGACAGAGAGAAGGAAGGTGAGAAACCACTTCCCACCCTCCCAGGGGACTGGCCATGTTGCAACCCTTTCTCCTTCATTTTCCTCTCAGGATTTGGGACATGCACGTATGTGTGTCCTGTGTGATTTTCCAGCCGCTGGTCCCTGACTTAAACCATGGCTGGCCATGTAGGAGTCCAACACTATAACCATCATGCCACCTGCTGGCCCCCAGCTCAATGTATTTTAGCACTTGATTTTATCTGTAAAATTTTAGTTACATTGAGAAATTGTCATATACCTTTACTGTTCAAGTTCTTGTGCTGCTTAAAAAATTATAACTAAAATTTTTCCTTATTTTAACCCAATTGTTTCATTCTTACCACTTCTGAATACTTTTGGCAGGCTTGCTTTTTCTTCATGTTTGACTTTTATACCTGTTTTTGAGGATTTGGTTGTATTATGTACCTGGGTCTCATGTGTGATCACTGAGCGTACCTGACTGGAAGGACATCCCCTGTTCTCTTAAGGGTCGAAGCCTGAGCGCTTCCACCAATGATGGAGTCACGGCCTGCCTGAATTTTGAATTTTTTTGGTAGAGTCGTTATTATAACTATTTCAATGACTAATCGAGACTTAAATGATTCATTACTTAAGGAGATGGTAGTCTATTCCTCAGATAGGTAGCCTAGCACAGATTAATATTAAAATGAAAAAAAAGAAAAATATTAATATGAATGTATTTAAAAAGAATGAAATGTTGATCTGGAAATGAAAATCATTGTTTATGAGGTCATTTGCAGTCTTCCTGAATATTGCTACTTGGTAACTGTATTCATTTAATGACCCGGAAAGTGGATTTCAGTCAGTGAAATGCAGAGGGCATTTAGGTGAAAGGTGTTTGTGTGATTTGAACTAAGAACACACCTACTCAGATCTTCTACTGACTGCTAATGTAAGATGTTTTTGCTGTCCCTCTATCCCGTGAACATTTGGAACGTGTCCCTTGTGTCCCTCGCCTGCCCATGGGTTGGTGGTGCTTCCTGCTGGTCCTCCAGCTTCACCTGACTTGTGGTCACCTGACTTGTGCCCTCCCGATGCGGATTTCCTCTGAGGTCAGGGTGCTTACACATCGGTGTTGGCAGAGCTTCCAGACAACTTTGGGAACCGCTGCAAAGGTGCAGCCTGAGGGAACCAGCAGTTAGCGTAATGGCTATGTCGCTGGACTCCCACGTAGTCGACCGCGGTTTGCGTCCTGGACCCGGTGGCTTAAAACTCACGCTGGGCACGTGTACGTGTGTGCCCAAGATCCCGAGAGGAGAATGGAGGAGAAGGGATTGCGGCGTGACCATCCCCCCTGGGGGGTGATTTCTCGCTTTCTCTCTCTCTATCTCTCTCTGTCTGTCTGGTGAGCGCACGTGCCCTATAGCAAAAACCTCTCCAAAAAAAAAAAAAAAAAAGAGAGAAAAAAAGGTGCAGCCTGAGAATAAATTAACTGATATTCTCACATCTTGTGACTTAAAATCATTGATCATTAAAAGTTGTTGTGTTTGTAAAATATCTGTTCCTACCACTGTATACCTGCCCCGTGATAATAGTGACAGGCCAGTCATAAACACACTTCGCCGCCCCCCCGTCCTGCTACTGTGCACACGTGAACAAAGAGGGCATGCTGATGGGACGTGAAACAGCAGGTCGGGAAGCAGCGCACAGTCTTGTCCTTAGCAAAGTCTGTTGTGGTCACTGATATCATTTCCTTTCTCTTTCAGGAAAATCACCAGCGTGTCAGCATTTTCTTCGACTATGCGAGACGTAGCAAGAACACTGCCTGGCCCTATTTTCTGCCAATGTTGAATCGCCAGGATCCTTTTACTGTTCATATGGTAAATTCTGAATTCTTTTTAAGAAATATAATGTAAAGGCCAGGTGCTGGCATGGAGATTCAGATGCTAGATCCCACATGACTGACTGACTGGTTTGAGTCCCAGTACTGGTGACTTGAAATAATATGCCAGGCACATGTGTGTACATGCCCAAAATCCTGCAAGGAAAGCGGAGGAGAAGGGATTGTGGCATCTCTTTTATGGGGGATTTTTTACTTTCTTGCTTTCTCTGTCACTCTGGCAAGTATGTAACCCTTACAGTTTGAGTTCTTATGCAGCTGAAAAATAGTTGTAACTAAATTTTTTTTTCCTGCTTTAACCTAGTTATTTCATTCTTTTTTTTTTTTTTTAGAATTATTCTTTATTTAATTCCATTTGTTATTATTATTGTTTTTAATATGACCAGACAGAGACAGAGAAAGGGAAAGCAAGAAAGCAAGCCACTAGGTCTGGGACTCAGACTGTGGTTGGCTATGTGGGAATCCAGCACCTTTAACTACCACGACACCTGTCAACCCCGTCCTAGTTACTTCATTCTTACCTGTAGCAAATTAAAAAAAGCAAGATAATTTTTTATTATTTTTTAAAAATTGTGATCACATTTTGATGGCAATAAGAAGCAGACCCGAGCTGTCTGTGACTTAATCACCTGCCCGCGCCCAGAGGAGTCGTTGCTGGCCATTAGCTTTCCTTGTTGGCGTGCAGTAGAGGGGACACTGGGAAGCCACAGGCAGATGGAATGGCAGTGACGCAGCTAAAAGTTTTGTAGATGTCCTGCCGAACTCAGTGCACCTGTGGTGAATTCACACATGCCAACACCTCTATAACGTGGCAGGTTAACCACATTATATAGAAACCACATTTATGTAGAAATCAAATTTCGTGAGACCAATGGGCTGCGTGGTGCTGAAGGCCCTGGGTTCCTACATGGCTGACTGCAGTTTGAGCTCTGGACCCAGTGGCTTGAAAATCACACTAGGCACGTGTGCTCACCAGAAAGACAGACAGACAGAGACAGACAGAGAGCTAGAATGCGAGAAATCAACCTCCAGGGGGGATAGCCATGCTGCAATCCCTTCTCCTCCATTCTCCTCTCAAGATCTTGGGCATGCACAACACATGTGAGTTTAAGCCACCGGGTCCGGGACTCAAACCACGGTTGACTACATGGGAGTACAGTGACATAGCCATTATGCCAACTGCTGGTCTTTAAAAAAAATTTTTTTTGAAAGGTTTTTATGCCTTAGGGCGTGTGCGCTCGCCAGAGAGAGTGAATGAGAGAGAGAGAGCGCGCGTGTGTGTGGGCCACACAGAGGGAGAATGAGAAATAACTCCTTATGAGGGAGTGGCCATGCCACAATCCCTTTTCTAGTTCTCCTCTCAGGATCTTGGGCATACATGCCTATGCACCTGGCATGATTTTGAAGCCACTGGGTCCAGAACTCAAACCACAGATGGCCATGCAGGTGTCCAGTGACATGACCAGTACACCATCTGCTGGTTCTGTTGTTAAAAATTTTTTTTTAATAATTATTCATTTAATTTCATTTATTCATTCATCTTTTTCTAATTTGACGAGAGAGAGAGAGAGAGAGAGAGAGAGAGAGAGAGAGAGAAAGTGAGAAAGCAGGCCACCAGGTCCAGGACTCGAACCATAGTCAGCCATGTGGAAGTGCCCAGCGTCTTAGACAACCACGCCACCTGCTCGTTCCTGCCGGGGTCCTGCTCCACCCAGGGTGGTTGAGACTCACACACAGGAAGGTGACATGGGTGATCAGAAACAAAAATTAGACTAAGACCTCAATGCCTCTTAGCATGTTCTCAGCTGGCCACAGCCAGAGCCATCTCCAGACTGCAGCCTTAGTGGCTACCAAACACATGTATTTATTGAGGGATGTCTTACAGGAGTAGGAGGGGTGAGGGGGAAATAAACGTTTTACTCTAAGAAATAGGGTATACAAAGTACGGAAATAAGAATCATAAAAAATGATGCACTGTTCTGTTTGAACAGGTGAAGCCAAGCACAGTTCTCAGAACGAAGGAGTCTATTTGTCTGGTGCATATTCTTCTTAAGTCTTGATTACCGGACAGGGCCTTTTTAAATGAGAGGGTCTTGTAGCTCAGGAGACAACACAGGATGGTTTATTAGCAGTTTTTCATAGTTAACAGCATATAGGGGAAAAACTGTAGTTAGGTACTATCTGTTGCCTGCCTGAATTTAGATAAGAACTTCCAGCTAAGATAGTTACTCTTCCCCCTGGAGCCTTCAGGTGTGTTTATCCTCTCTCTGTTAGCCAGATTTGTCCTTCCTCTGTTAACCAACAAATCCCTGTATTTATTTGCTGAATTTTTTGTCTGTTAAGCAGTGAATTCTTGTGCTTTATCTTTAAGTCTGTGTCATGGTGGTGGATATGCTAATTTGACCTGCAGCTTTAACAAGGGGTATTGATGTAAAACTTGCCTTAATCTAAGTTAGTCTACATATGCTACTAATGCTAATTTGGCTTATACTAACTTAATCTAACATATGTTAATTTCAGCTTAAAACAGGCAAGTGGGTGAGCCTGTCTCAGGTTTCCTGACCCTCCCGCGGATCACTGATTGGCTTTATTATAAAGTTGCAATAAGGTTGGGGGTGAGGAGCTACGTGTTCTAATTGTCAGTTCCTAAAGTTTTAACAATAGGGAACATAGGTTTCATATGTGGTTGGATTAAGGGTGGGGTCTATGTAGTTCCGCCATTGTTTGTTTGATGTAGGTGTCTTCATGGAATGTAGTTTCGGGAAAGCAGCTCCAGCAAGCAGAGATAATTATCAGCTGATGCGGTGCAGCAGCCATCTTGTGATTACCAAGTACGGTGCTGAGAAAAGAAAATCTCAAATATAGATATTAGTTCTTATGGATCTCAATAAAGAATGGAACTTAGATAATTTTATAGGGATCTAAAACTTAATTCAAGGAATCCTAATATATTTTAAAGGGGTGAAACTCTTGTTCACTTGGTGAGGGCGGGGATACAGCTTTTTCAACTGGCGGTAAAGTGACTAACAAGTTAATGAAGAACTTCAAGGTGAATTTGTGGCATACTTAAAACATTCTATTGTGCCTGTGGCACCACTGTTATGTATTTTGTTAGAACATTAGCTATAGTGGGGTGGGAGTGTCCTGGGCCAGTTTCGGCCTAAAAGTTATTTTTAAGCTTATGCTAAATGTATCTTGAAAGGCCTTCCAAAGGTCAAGAAGATTTCTGCCTAGATGTGACTTCAACATACCCTCTATTGTGACCGTGCCAGAGTGAAGCATTGTAATTAACAGTGGGTGGTCAGAGCAAAGGGGAGCGGTCAGGGGACTTTTGGAAAATCTTATCATATACTCAGGATGTATAAGAGAGCTATGTAATTCTTTTATAGTAGTATATCAGGGAGTCAGAGGGGGGGTCGCAAGGCTACCACAGTCTCTGGAGCATATAGCAAGCAGCCTTGCCAACATGCTGATTTGACTCAAGCTTTGCTCAAAAGGTCAAAAGCTCAAAACAGATCCTGGGGCACTACCGGGTCGGACTCCTCCAGGTTCCCATCCATTGTTTAAATATTTTTTAAAACTATTTTTTAAGTGCTGGGGGTGGGAGCATGTGCATTCACCAGAGAGAAGGAGGAGGAGGAGCCCTGTTGGGGATGTTTGTGCTCCCATCCTTGTTTCTCTGTTTCTCTGTTTCTCTAGCCTGTGAAGGTTTTGGGCGTGCATGCCTCACAGTGTTTTTCTTTTTTTTTTTTCTCTTTTTTAGGTTTTTGCCATAGGGTGCATGCACTATATATTGGATTTAAAGAACATTTCTTAAAGAACCAGTAATATGCTTTTTTCTTTCCGATTTTAGAGTCTTTCTCTTACGGCCTGGATGCCTGATTTTAATGTCTTCCAAATTTTCTAATAAAATTGACAGGTATATTAAATAACAAATACTCATGTAGGGCACGATTCATCATTATTAATTGTGTAGGCAAATTCATCTTAACTTCTTACTGATTTGAGAATCTTCTTGCCAGTCTCCATTGAGGGCAGATTGTCATTGGTTTGCCACATGTTGAATGAAGTACTAGGGCCAGGAGTGGCAATGGCAGGTTTCTTTGTCTTTTCCATTTTGCTTTTGCATGTCCTGCTGATACCATTTTCTTTTCCTGGGTTCCTAACACAAATCTTTTTAAGTCAGGTGTTTATCTTGTGAGGTTGGATCAGTTTAAACTGGGTAACGTAGCTGTCATCTCACCTCGCCGGGTACACGCAGCACCAGCAGGTCCCGACGTGGTGGGCAGGTGGAGGTGCTCCTGTGAGCCTCTGGGCTGTAGGATCCAAGGACTCCAGGACCCTTATGGACTGGCATTCTGGCCTTGGCACCATCCCTCCCAGTCTGGTGTGCCTGGGCTCAAATGTGAGAACAACATCTGTCTTCCAGCACAGGAAATTGTCTTGGGGTTAACTAGCCTCAGCCTTTCATTCTCCATGGGCACTGATTATAGCTCATTAATAGAAGTTTCAGAGCAGTGGGTGGCTTTCAGAAAGTAATGACAAAATAATTATTAAATTGGGTTTGAATGTGGAGAAGTAATATTTTTATACTACCTACTTAATAAAAAGGTGATTAATTGTATAGTTTGAAGAAAATTGAGAAATCTTTGAGAAGGAAGGGCTTATGTTGAGAGAGACGGCTTCTAGGGCTTGCGTTGGAACAGGAGGGTGTCAGAACACACAAGGGACTTGGAGTGAATGAGACAGGGCCTGGTAGCCTGTTCCAGAAGCTGCTCAGACCTCTGGCAAGCGATTTGGTGATGTTATGCCTCTAAGAAAGATTTATTTTTACTGGTCTTATTTTAGTCTTAATTCTAACCTTAAAATAATACAGACAATATCATGAAATTCTTAAAACACAGCTAATTTTGGTCCACTTCAGTGGACATATTTAAAAATACATTTTGAATGTTTATATTTCAAAACATATTTCAAAATTACAAAAAATATTAAAGAAATTAAATGTTAAGTGTTTCTTTTGGACAAGTTGAGTGTACCAAAAAGTTGTGCTGCAGAACAGGTATGCATCCTGTTTTTTATGGAATATGATGTGATCCCCCACATACCCCCACGGCCCGAGGGCGTGTGTGCTCACCAGAGAGACAGGGAGAGAAAGCACCCTCAACTGCCACAATCCCTTCCCCTCCATTTCTCCATCCTGTCGAGATTTGGGGCATGCACCCATATGTGCCCAGTGTGTTTCTCAAGCTGTCGGGGTTGGGATTAGAACTGCAGTCAGCCTTCTGGGATCTAGCATTTTTAATCACTAGGCTATGGAGCTGGCCCTCTCATGTGTGTTTCAGAATCAGTGTAGCATTCAGATATATCTCTTCTCTGTTTTCAGGCAGCAAGGATTATTGCCAAGTTGGCTGCGTGGGGAAAAGAACTGATGGAAGGCAGCGACTTAAATTACTATTTCAATTGGATCAAAACACAGCTGAGTTCACAGGTAAAAGAAATTTCTTCAATGTCTTTGAAGGGAATCGAACAGCTGTATTTTCTTGAGCTCTTTCTCGTAAGTATGTTAAATTACAAACATGTTTTACTGCACAAGCCATTTGAACCTGATAAGAAAGCGGAGCTGGCTCAGGTGTGGTTGTTCTCTCCTCCTTTCTTTACTGGCTTCATTCGGAACTTTTCTTTCTGCCTCTTGGGGTTACCTGCTCTTGCTTTCCAGTGGTCAGGGGTGTCTTCCTCCTAGGTTGCTGCCAAAGCCACACAGGTTGGAGGTTGAAAGACCTGCAGGACTCTAAGGAGCTTGCTTTCTCCAGGCCCATGCCAGGAACAGAAACGGTGCAACAGGAGGGATGTGCGGGCATGTGCTGAGCCAGGAACCTTCCAGCTTCCACCTCTGCCTCGGGTCTGTGACCACCAAGACTTGCACGAGAGATCTTGGTTTTGGAAGAGCTCTCCAGAAGTTTCTAGTGAGGTCTTTTATGCCCCTTGGTCACATAACCAGACTGAGCTGTCTAACTTGTTTCACCAGTTAACACACTGACCCTGGGTGTTGGCCAGAGTTTCAAACTGCAGACCGCACCTTAAAGATTGTTGGCCAATACTTGGCTTTTCCTTGGCCAAGAGTATCAGGCTTCCTGTGTCCATGGGGAAGCCGAGCTGCCTGGTCCAGTGGCAAGACGACACTGTCTCTCATGGCGACTCACTTGCATAATTTCACCGTTCATTGTGGGATTCGGCAGTTAGGCTGAAAGTGAGACATGAAGCCTTACTCCGGGTCATCCTGGTCACATCCAGCCTCTCCCACTCTCCTGTGTGGAGGAAGAGAACTTGCAGGTGTAATGACTGGAACATGACACCATTTCTATTTTCATTTTCTTGATTTGTCAGAGTAGGGCAAAGGACAGGACGGTAAGGATGGTGCTGTGCAGTGTTTAGTCTGCTTGTGATTAAGCGCTCGGTGGCTGGTGGAGGTGGAGTGGGAATGCTGTTCAGAAAAGGAGTGAAATGAAGTGGTTCAGAAGAATACTCCGGGGAAGAAAAGGAGAGAGAATGAGACTTTTTGGTGTGGTAGGTGACAGCAGTGGGACTAGGAGAGATGGTAGTTGTCATGCCATTAGTGCTGGATTACAAATAAATACCACTTCAGATAAATTTGGGGTAAGCTGTACTTGGATTTTGGGTGGCTTTTAGATTTTTTTTTTTTTTGAGAGGTTTTTGCTTTAGAGTGTGTGCGCTCACCAGACAGACAGAGATAGACAGAGAGACAGAAAGCGAGAAAGCACCCCCCAGGGGGGATGACCACACCACAATCCCTTTTCCTCCATTCTCCTCTCGGGATCTTGGGCATACACGCACATACGCCCGGCGTGAGTTTAAGCCACCGGGTCCGGGACTCAAACTGCAGTCAACTACATGGGAGTCCAGCGACATAGCCATTACGCTAACTGCTGGTTATGGCTTTTAGATATTAATTTGAGGCATTAAGAGAGGAACATTTTGCTTGGATTTACTTTTTGTCTTATCATCATCTGGGAGCAGAACTACCTTTTGTGTTTCAATAGATAGTTTAGAGTATCTTGAACAAATTTAAACCTCTTTTTTTATGTTAATAGAATCAATTTTAATCCTTTTTTTTTGGAGAGGTTTTTTTCGTTATAGGGTGTGTGCGCTCGCCAGACAGAGAGAAAGAGAGACATAGAGACAGAAAGCGAGAAATCACCTCCCAGGGGGGATGGTCACGCCGCATTCCCTTCTCCTCCATTCTCCTCTTGGGATCTTGGGCACGCACATGTGCCCGGTGTGAGTTTTAAGCCACTGGGTCCGGGACATGAACCACGGTTGACTACGTGGGAGTCCAGCGACATAGCCATTATGCTAACTGTTGGTTCCCAATTTTAATCCTTTTTTGAAGCTATTTTTTTAAAAAATTAATTTTATTTATTATTATTCTTTAATTTGACCAGAGAGATAGCGTGTGCGAGAGAGGGAGAGTGATAAATCAAACTGTCAGGTCCGGGACTTGAACTATGGTCGGCCATGTGGGAGTCCAGCACCTCAACCACTATGCCACCTACCAGCCCCGAGACTTTGTTTTAAAAGGTATTTTTACAGTAGCCACAAATTTGTAGATCTGAGTTAGTGAAGTATTTAAAAAACAAGGTATTTAAAACATGAACAATTAGTGTGTAAAAGTGAGATTTTCACTTTCTGATTGCTGATATGTCATTTGGTATCAGGCTACTTAAATAGGACTCCTCCGTCCTTTTTAATATATTTTTTTTTTTCCTACTTTGAAACGATCTGTCTTTAAACTCTGTTTTGCTCTGATGTCAGCTCTCTGGTCTCGCGTGGAAGGCTCCAGTGTGGCCACCCTCACGGTGACACATGGTGAGGGAGAAGGTCACTGCGGTCTGCCGTGGCTCTTGGGTCAGTGGCATCGGAGGACTTTTCCTCACAGGAACAGCAGTGGTGCCCCTCTCACGGGTGCTTTGTTACCCACGGAGGGATTACCTGTGGCCGTCCCTTGTGAACAGTCCGGAGCTGTTCATTAGAGCTGAGCTTCCTGCTGGTCGATGAATGCCCGTCAGGGCCTCTCCTGTGTCTGCCTCAGTCTTTGGCTTCGAGTGGTGCCCGGCCATCTGCTGCGCGAGGCCTCCTGCCATCGGGCCTCTTCGGGACTAGGCGCATCTGGCTTTGCTTCTCAGCCGCCTCTGCTTCTGCTCGGCTCTGAGCACACGGCCTGTCTTGCTGGGGAACGGACACTTCTTCCGTAGCCGTTTATCAGGGTTCCATGGTGACTCCTTGTTCGGAGGCTCTAACGGGGGTCAGCTGGCATTTTACCTGCTGCTGCCTCACAGTCACGTGATAGTGTTAGATCCAGGTCTCTCTTTCTCCATCATTAGTGTTTTTTTCTCGCTTATTTGTAGGACCAGCATGTCATGATTCTAATAGAAAATCAGCTTTCAAAAGTCCAAGCCAATGGCCACATTGGATATTCTGTTCTTTTTTTAAAAAAAAATTCATGTATTTCTTTTGTGAAAGAAGATGACAGAGAGAGATACCTGCGGTGGATTTATGTCATAATCCTGTTCCCAGCTTCAGCCAGCCAGGCCTGTGGACACACGGGAGACCTCAGGATGCAGACCGGGAACCTCTATGGCCTTAGCCTCGCAGAGCGTGCTTTTACCTCTGAGTCTGTCGTTTCACGTTGAGGGCAACTGGAGGCATTGGTAGTTTATAGAGCTTTGCACCTGGGCAGTGAGGGGCTTGTGCCTGCCACTAGTAGATAATAGTATTGAATGAAATAAAATAAAAAATATCCCTTTAGAAAGTCTTTATCACTTTTCTCTTGCATTTTCAGCCTCTGACTTTCCCACCTTAAGTTTTCTTTCATTTCTGTATAGCATTTGAGATTTTGATTGTCATTGTAACTTGTAAGCATCTCTGTGAATAACCTAATTTTGAGTCCCATGTAGTCTTCTTGTCAAAATTTTCCACAGAGTCCGCTGTAGGCAGTTCAGTTTAAGGCAGTTACCTTATTGGAAAAAATATTTAGTAAGTAAATTGTGAGACTTGGAAATTTATACTATAATAGCTTAATTTATGGAATTTAGCTGTAGCATAGGATTTCATTTATTATGATTGCATTTTTAGAAATTTCTTTGCTCAGATATATGGAAGACTGCAATGCTATTTTAAATATTGTATATCATCTCCTTGCTTTTTGTTTTTTGATGATAGATTCTATTGAGTAGGATTAGGAAAAAAGATTTTGACATTTGTTTAGCTCCCTGTTATAACATGATAAATTAGGATAAAATTAAAAACAAAACTAAGTAATAAGTTATTTATTTCGTAATAGAAACTGCGTGGTAGCGGTGTTGCTGTTGAAACAGGAACAGTCTCTTCCAGTGATGTAAGTATGTTTCTTCTGAATTCCTTGGCTCCTAACACCCTGAAAGTAAATTATTTTGAGTCATAGACTTTCACAGTTTTGAAGGTGTTCATTGGCTCCTGACGTGTGGACCTGTGGACTAGATGCGTCACCTGCAGTTAGGTCGATTGTACTGAAAAACTACGTAGATGTTCGCAGACTGGGGATGATGTTTTCCTGTGGCAAACAAGACTTGTACACAGATGCGTTCTTTGCTATTTCCCTTTTTTCTTTTTCAGGCCACTTTATTTCAGATCTGAGAATCAGAGCAGTGTCTTGCTTTGGAGGTACAACTGGAACAAATTAGAAAGTACCTTCTTTAACTTCAGTCATGTGATTTAGTGTCTTACATTAGTCTAACTAGCAGGTAAACATGAGGTCACACAGTTTAAAAAATTCAGTTACTGGGTGATACTCAAACTTGTTGTCCTGTACTGCTGCTCAGGCCTATAGGTGGCCAGAACTCCCTCCTGTTTTCTTTTTTGGTTTATGCCGTTTAGATTTTTGCAGTAGGGTACGTGTGTTTGTTAGAGACAAAGAGACAGAGACAGGGAAAATGAGAAATCAGCTCCCAGGGGGATGGCCATGCTATAATCCCTTCTCCTCTTCTTGGAATTCTGGACATACACACGTAGACTCCCGGCAGGATTTTCAAGCTTTTGGGCCCCAGACTCCACCGCAGTTGGCCTTGTAAGAGTCCAGCCCTTAACTACCATGCCATCTGCTGGCTCTACTCCCTCCCTCCCTCTTTTTCTTTCTTTTCTGAAAAAGAAAGGGGGATATTTGGAGAGCAGCCAATCTGCAAACATGTGATTAAAACATGTGGCCTGTAGACACATGCAGAAATGTGCTTCTGTAAGCTACTCTAGCAGGGCTATTGACAGGAGGCAAATGCTGCTTTTCTGTGTAAATGCTTCTCAATAACCCTGCTATTGTGTGTCTTTACCAGTGAAGTGAGTTTCTGGTAAACAGCATATAAATAGGTCTTATTTTTAAATCCATTTTTACAGTCTATATCTTTTAACTTGGGAGTTTTAATTTGTTCGCATTCAATGTTATTATCAATAGGTGAGGACTTTTTAATGCCATTTTGGTAGTTATATTTTGTTTGCTTTGTGTTTTATTTGTTCTTTCTCTCTTACTGTTTATTTTATAGTTTAATGGTTTCCTCTAGTGTTAAGGTTTGATTCCTTTCTCTGTCTTATTTGCTATCCACCCTTTTGGTGAGTTTCATGCTTTTGCATATTTTTGTGATAGTAATTGTTATCTTTTCACTTCCATGTAGAAAACCTTTAAGCATTTCTCGTCAAGCTGCTCTACTGAAGATAACTTCCTTGTTTTTGCTTGCATGGGAAAGACTTTCTTTCATTACTGATAGTTTTGCTGGATATAGTATTCTTGCTTAGGCAGTTGTTTTCTTTCTTTCTTTTTCTTTTTTTTTTTTGAGAGATTTTTGCTATAGGGCGTGTGCACTTGCCAGAAAGACAGAGAGAGACAGAGAGACAGAAAGCGAGAAATCACCCCCCAGGGATGATGGCCACGCCGCAATTCCTTCTCCTCCATTCTTCTCTCGGGATCTTGGGCATGCACACACATGCACCTGGTGTGAGGTTTAAGCCACCGGGTCCGAGATTCAAACCACGGTCGACTACATGGGAGTCCAGTGACATAGTCATTATGATAACTGCTGGTCCCAGTTGTTTTCTTTTATTACTTTGGATATATCCCATTTTTTTCCTGGCCTGTAAGGTTTTTGCTGAAAAATCTGCTTTTAGTCTAATAAGGTTCTCTTGTATGTGACTTGATGCTTTTCTCTAGGACTCTCTTTTTATCTTTTTACAGTTAGTCTATAATGTGTCTTAGAGACTATCTTTTTGGGTTGAACCTACTTGGGGACCTTTGCATTTTCTCAATCTGAACGTCCTTATCCCTCCTAAAAACTGAGAAGTTTTCAGCTGTGATATCATGAAATAGTTTTATCTATTCCTCTCTTTTTTTTTTTTTTAAGAGAGGTTTTTCGCTATAGGGCGTGTACGCTTGCCAGACAGACAGACAGAGACATAGAGACAGAAAGCGAGAAATCACTCCCCAGGGGAGATGGTCACAGCTCAATCCCTTCTCCTCCATTTTCCTCTCGGGATCTTGGGCACGCACGCACATGTGCCCGGTGTGAGTTTTAAGCCACTGGGTCCGGGACGTGAACCCCGGTCGACTACGTGGTAGTCCAGTGACATAACCATTACGCTAACTGCTGGTTCCCATCTATGCCTCTTTTCATCTCTTATTTTTTAGAAATCCCATAATGTGAACATTAATGGTGTTTCATAAGACCTGTAGGCTTTCTTCCCTCAGTTTTTTTTTCCTTTTTCATCTGACTACATAATTTCAGAAGACCTATCTTCAAGTTTAGCAATTCTTTTATCTACTTAATCAATTCTATTACTGAAACTCTTGATTGCTCTTATTTTTGAAAAATATATATTCTTAAAAATTCCATTTGTTGTTATTATTTTAAAATTTGACCAGAGAGAGAGAGAAAGGGAAATTGAGAATGTAAGCCACCAGGTCCAGAATTCGAACTGCAGTTGGCCATGTGGGAGTTCAGTGCCCCAACCACCATGCCACCTGCCGGCCACCTTGATCATATTTTAAAATTTCTTAATTCTTCAGCTCCAGGATTTGTTTGGTTCTTTATTGTGGTATCACTGTTGAACTTTTCATTCAGATTATGTATTGTTTTCTTTATTTTTTTTGTTTCCTATTAGAGAGATATTTACTTTAGGGCATGTGTGCTCACTGGAGAGACAGAGAAATCACCCCTCAGGGGCTTGGCCACGCTGCAGTCCCTTCTCAAATATTATCCTCTTGGGATTTTGGGTATGCACACAGATGGGTCTTTTCAAGCTGCCGAGTCTGGGACTCAAACCTGTCAGCCATGTGGGAGTCCAGAGACATAACCATTACACCATCACCACATTTATTATTTTCTTAATTTTGTTGAATTGTCTTTTATATTGTGCTGAGTTTCCTTGTGATCACTATAAATGATATTTTCTTATGAATTCCTTTTCAAGCATTTCATAGATCCTTCCCTTTGTGGTCTGTTGCTGGAGAATTATTGTGTTCATTTGGGTGTCATGTTACCTTTCTTTTCAGGTTTTTTTATGTTCTTATGTTGATATTTGTGTATATGATGCAGCAATTATTTCTACAACTTTATGGGATGATGTTTCATGGCTAAAGACTTTCTTATGTAGATGAATACTAGGATTTTGGTTGGGGAGAGCACGTTGGCTTTATGTTTTAGTCCATTACAGCATTGCTAAACAGAAATCTTGAGGCTGGGTGATTAATAAGAATAAAGATTTGTTTGGCTCATGTTTCTGATGACTGGAAAGTCCAAAGGCATAGGGTTGGCAGCTGCCCAGCCTCTACTGTATCATAACATGGCAGAAAGAAGCAGAAAGTTCAATGGGTGCATGCAAAGAGAGAGTGACCTGTGGGCACTCTGTTAACATTACTCTTATAACAACCTGCTTTCTCAGGGGCTAACCTAGTCCCATGATAGCAAGGACTCCCTCCCCTCATGATAGGCCATTAGTCTACATCATGAAGGTGATGCTCCCATGATCCTAACACTTCCACTAGGTCCCACCTCCCAAAGGTCCCACCACCTCTCAATACCATTATATTGGGGACCAAGCTTCCAGTAAGTACATGAACTTTTGGGTGACAAACAATATCCAAACCATCGCCTTTGGTTCTAGGTAGGCACAGTAGAGTAGTCTCCATGTAGTTTCTTTGGTTGTAATTAGTGTCAGTGATATGTGCAAGAGCCTCAGTGGCCCAAGATGCAGGGGTATGTGAGGCTGGCTTGCTAGGTAAGACCTGGCTGGCCTAATAGAAGGGTGTGTTTATGGGTGGGTAGGGTCACTCTGTTGATTCTGGGAGCAGCATTTGGCAGTGGACAGGTTGCTCAGCTGCTATCCATAGCCCTGTGTAGGGCTGTCCTAACAGCTTTCTCTGCAGCACATAGCTATGGATGGTTCTCTTGGCTATTCCCATGGGATGTGGGTGGGGATAGGGCCACCCTCCCAGTGTGGGAAGCTGTGAATGAAATCAGTTGCCCAGCTGCTCTGTAGCTATAAGGTATAGAGGAAGGGACTCTCTGGCAGCTTTGACTTTGGGTGGTGTCCTATTTTCGGTTGTGCTTGCAAGTCATGGTGGGGGGGGGCAGGGTCTCTCCGAAGCTCGGCTGTGGGTAGGTTCACTTGCCTGAGGCTCCTGAGGCTGCAGGTGGGTGTGGTCAAAAGATGGCTTTGAGTAGCACCAGCCTAGATGGTGGTGACAGGTATAGGATGATCTGGACTTCTGGAGTCTTCTTGCTCTACAGTGTCTCAACCATATCCCTACTGCACTCCAGCATAGATTCTTCAACACTCCAGCTGAATAACAGGTGCATGTTTGTTTTGGTTCTTTTTTTTTTTTGAGAGGTTTTTGCTATAGGGAGCGTGTGCTTACCAGACAGACAGAGACAGACAGAGACAGACAGAGAGACAGAAAGCGAGAAATCACCCCCAGGGGGAATGGCCACGCTGCAATCCCTTCTCCTCCATTCTCCTCTCGGGATCTTGGGCATGCACGCACACGTGCCCGGCGTTGGTTTTAAGCCACCGGGTCCGGGACGTGAACTGCGGTCGACTATATGGGGAGTCCAGTGACATAGCCATTATGCTAACTGCTGGTCCCTGTTTTGGTTCTTTTTTTGTGGGAAGAAAGCACCTTTAGTCAACTGTCTTGCTGGAAGTTCTCTCTTTTTAAAGAAACTTATATATTTAAATTTATTTAAATTTGGCCAGAGAGTGACAGAGAGAGAGGGAGAGGGAGAGAGGAAAGGGAGAGAGAGAGGGAAAGTGAGAAAGCAAACTGCCAGGTCTGGGACTTGAACTCCACATGGGAGTCCAGTGCCTTAACCACTATAC